GCTGTTGGAGAGACTAGCTTTGACTGATTTCTAGGCTGAAGACTGATTTCTGACTGGTTGCAGAGTCTTCAGTATATTGGCGCTATTTAAAGTCATAGATTATGAAGAAGTACATGCAGATGAGGAAAGGAAGGCTTGGGACAATCCAGTATTGAGAGGATAGGCAGAAAAGGAGGGGTCACCCAAGAGGGCTGAGAAGATGTGGCCCGTGAGAGAAATGAAGAACCGGGCGGGAGTACCAAGGGCCTATGAAGGGTCTCCAGAAGGAGGGAATGATTTCTTCTGTCACATGGTGCAGAACAGTCAGATGAAGACTGACAGTTTAGCCCCTGGATTTTAAAAACGGAAAGGCCACTGATCTTGACAAGAGCAGTTTGGAGAAGTGCTGATCAGAGTTCATTCAGGAGAGAAGGGGCAGGGATGGGAGACAGCAGGTAGCAGCTCTGTGAGGGCCAGACCATGTGCAGGCTTCATGCCAGGAAATAAAAATAGATGGTGAGCCAGACAGGCTGTCTGGCTTTGAGGAGCCCACAGTCCAGTGGCACAGAGAGATGTGTAAATAAATCATCGTGAAACTACATGAGAAGTGAAAGGACAGAGGTATATACGGGGAACTCTGTGAGCCCGGGGGAGGGGGTGACCGATTCCCTCTGAAGAGAAGGCATTTGAACTCAGGTTGCAAGAAGATCAGGTTTCCACTTGGGGAGACAGGGGGAATAGCGTTAGCTCGAGAGTTTTCAAAAGCAAAGACCATTTTTCATTCTTTCTTCTTTCCAGCTACTAAAGAGTCTGGCCCACAATCTGTATTTGCTGAATGATTTTGTGAGTTCCAATAGAAAGAATTTGCAAGAGGCAGAGTTACAGAAGAAATCATTACAATAATTTGACAACAGCAGAGAGAATAGTGAAGAAAGATGGTTTAAAAGGTGTCAGAATGTATTGGTCTCTTCAGAGGGGAAAAAGGGTGTTGCAGGTAATTCACACTTTTGCTGATTGGGTTAGTTGAGTGCCGGTCCCTCGTGCTAATGGCCTTGTGTTCTTAGTGCCTAGGAAAGTGCTGGTGTTTGACTGCTTGCCTGAAGCTATTGCCCAGGAAGAAGGCAACAGATGCAGTGGTTTGGGAATGTTGGCAGTAGGATGAGACTGGAGAAGACGCTGGGAGAACTGCCATTAGATGTTGGACTATGGAGTAGAGGGGTGAGAGAGAAGAAGGGAAAGAAATGGTGGAGATATTGATGAGAGAGAGAGATCTGGACCAGATATGTGGATTCATGAGTTCCTCTGTAAGTGATACCCAGTGTCTGGAATTGTATGACCTTTCCCAAATTGGAGTGCCAGGACAGACACACGAAAGGAACAGGTGGAGGAAGGAGCAGAGTGAAGGGGAGGGCAGAGGAGCCAGCAGGAAGGTGGGAGCAAAATCGGAGTGGGTGGTTTTGTAATCATGTTGGAGGGAAAGTCTTGAGAAGGAAGGAGAATTAACGCCATCAGAGTCTTCAGAGAAAATCAGTGAAGTATGGAATGAACATAGGTCAGATTTGACTGTTAGGAGGGCACTAGAAGTTTTACTGAGCAGACTGGGTGGACAGACGCAGGCTAAGGAAACCAGATCAGGATGAGTTGAGAGGCTGAGACGTGAATGATAACCAAAGCAGGGTGGTAAGGGGTAGAGGGCCTTTCTGCAGCAGACACGTGTGTTCCATGAATGCACCAGGGAAGAGAAGAAAGGCAAGTACTGGTTGGTTGAGAGCTGGGGCAGGAGGTTATTCTTTAATAAATCTCACGTGGGCTCTTTCAATTGAAAGAGGAAAATTTAAGATATGAAACAGGAGTGGAGTCCTGGAAGATGTGGAAAGGGAAGGGACCCAAAGTTCAAGAAAGTATCCCCTGAGAAGAAAGGGCAGGGCTTGTTTGCTCTGAGAGTGGAGAGGCAGACAGACATATAGACAGAAAGAGGAAGAAGGACAGGAGAAGCAGGGACTGGAGGTGAGGGGCTTCGCTCATACTGTCCTCCACCTGAGGAGACGGGGAAGGGGGCAATGGGCAGTGAGCCCAAGCAGAGTGGTCCTACGGAGATGCAAATGTAAATTTCCGTGACATGGGACGCTCTGTTCCCTCCTGGCTCCCGGTGGCCTGATGGAAGTGTGGAGAGGATGGCAAGAATTGTCAGCGTGGAGTAATGGAGGACAGGAAGTGCTGGGAAATGAGTGTCCTGGTGAGAGTGACATGGAAATGACTGGTGTGGGGCATGGGGTGAGCACGGGATGAACACAGGACAAGGCTGAGTGACCCAGATGAGAATAAAAGTGAGAGGACTGGCTACGCAGAGCTTGATTCTGGATCTGCAAAGTTGGGGGTCTGCCTCGGGACCTCAGAAACTGAGCTCATGTTTGACAGCTCTGATATGCGTGTGCACATCCTAATGCTATGTTGGGGTGTCTTTTCCTGTCAGGGTTCAGTGGTCCCCCTGAGCCCATGTTTCAACTGCTCTGAGACACATCTGCCTCTCCCTTTAAAGTGCCCCTCTCTGGACCCCTCAGAGGGAATTTTACAAATGCGACATGGTCATATGTTTTGAGTGAGATCATTTCAATCACTTCCTTCCAATTTGGTGAAAATATCTGTCCAGCTCCTTTCACAGAGAAATAAGAACCTAATTCTATATCATTATTGACAATCTCTAATTGTTTCTCATTACTTTGCATGCAGCCAGTTCATTTTCCTACTCATAGTAAGTTAATTGACAGCAAGAACTATACATTCTCTTATCTGTATTGGCCCATTATGCATGGCCGGCTTCTGGCAGTAAATGTTAGAATGAATCTGAGCTCATCTACTGAGGAGAGCTCAACTAGTGTTTAAAATAAAGAAATGCCAAGATTATCTTAATCATAGAAAACATTTGCTTAAAGATGAAATAATACATTAAGTAATTCAGCAAAACTCGTTGACTATCTACCTTGTGCCTAGCTAACCCTGGCTCCCTGTATTCCCAGCACCAGGGGCCTACAGTCGGGCAGAAGGATGGGTGCATACAGATAATCACATCTTAGTATGGGAAGGGATTGGGCTGTTCAAGAAGGCATAAGGGTACACAGAGTAGGACTAGAATCTCTCAGGCTGGGGTCCGGAAAGGCTGGGCAGAAGTGACAGTATTTGAGTAAGGAGAAGAAGGACAGATTCTAGCAAACAGGGAAGGAAGAGATGCACAGGCTGGGCAGCGAGACTGACAGTCCAAGGGCACAAAGACTGGAGGTGCTGTTGGCTTTGGGACGTCACTGGAAGGTGGCTTTGGGGGGCATGGCCAGGAGTCTGGCTAGAAAGGTATGAAGGGCATGCTAGCCTAAAGAGGGCCAGCCCAGCTTTCAAATTGTAGCCACAGAAATATTTAAACAGTCTCACTGAAATGCAGTAAGTAGAACAGACAACAGCCTGGAAGATCTGGTTGGGAGCAGGGAGTGCAAAGACCCACTGCTCAGCTCCTTCCACACCCAACTCCCTCCCTCCCCAGCAAACCAGTGTGATGAGGGAGGCCACAGGAACCCCTGAAGTCTTGGAGGGGCACCTTGAAAAATGTTGCTGTGGCAATTGGGGAAGAAGCAGATGACTACTAAAACCAGGGGGAGTGTGCTCAGGTAGATCAGTGGTTTAGAAAGATAAGTGGCAAGAGGGCTTTGAACATATTAGAAGAAAAGAAACCACAGCAGCTGTGGGTGAGAAGAGTCCAGCCTGGCCTGGGGCAGTGGGTGGAGTGGAGAGGACACAGTAGCTTCCCACAGCCCTTACAGGGGAAATCCACACTGATCAGAGACTGGTAGAGGGAGCCAACCAGTGAGAGAGGGAATCCTGGGGAAAACCTAAGGACTTTGAAGAACTGGTGTCCTAGGGATTGAAGTGGTCAGTGTAGCAGAGCCCTAATTATAACAGACAGAAAATCCAGCTGGACAGAGCTGGAGACAAGCAGTCTTTTGAACCTCCGGGACACAAAGGGCCTGGGGGCCTGGTGGGAGAATGGGTAGCCAATGGTCGTCCAGATTTAAAAACTAACCTTGTTACCTTGCCTTGGTGGGGAAATTGTAGAACCAAGAGCTGGCAGGGCCGGGGTGGAGCTGGTCCACACACGCTTTGCTGGAGGCCATGTAATTTGGAAAAATATTTTTGGATAGCAATTTGCATACCATCAGTCGTAAAATGTTCAAACCACTTGATGTAGTAATTCTACATGTGGGAATTGCCCTAAGGAAATAGTTCAAAAAGAATGAAAAGTCTCTGTTCATCCACCCAAATGTTAATTAATTAATTAAGCAATTAATTAGGAATGATGCATCGCACTACATACATTCTGGGAAGTCTGCCAGGTGAGTAAACATGTTAACTGTGGCAGTGTTCATAATAGCAAAACATAGTAAATGACCCAAATTACTAAAAAATGCTGCAATGGTTTAATACATTATGAGACAGCTGTGTGAGAGACTATTATGCTTTAATGCTATATGACACAAGCAGAATTCAAAACGACCTACTTGCTGCTATGGTGAAGAGCACATTCTCGCGAGTGGCCTGCCTGGGTTTGAAGTCTGACTGCCGTGCCCTGGCACAGTACCTTAGCAAGGCTCACTGGTGCCTCGAGGCTCCCTGTTTTAACAGTAAGGCGGGTGTAACAGTACTGCCGCCTCATGGGGTTGCCATCAAGATTAAATGAGAACAGGTGTGTGAGGTGCTTAGCACAATTTTCGCACACAAGTACTCAGTAAAAGCAAGTTGTTATTTTTAATATGTAAGAATGTGGGTCAGAAGAAAAAGACTAACAGAGACTGCCCCACATCTATAGCCCCAGGAAGTATGGGCAATTTGTTTCCTATGTTTTATTTAGTATCATTGCATTAAAACCTTTGAGCTCATAGGCAACATAGAAAATCAAGGAATAAGCAAAGCACTTTGGCCTATCCATTCATCCAAAGCAGTCAGAGTGATAGGCAGTCCTGTTTTTCTCTTCCCAGTGGTGTTTGGCCAGCGTTTGGATGAGACCGTGGCCTATGAACAGAAATTTGGCCCCCACCCGGTGCCCATCCTGGTGGAGAAGTGTGCAGAGTTCATCCTCCAGCATGGCCTGAACGAAGAGGGCATCTTCAGACTACCTGGGCAGGACAACCTCGTGAAGCAGCTGAGAGATGCTTTTGATGCTGGGGAGAGGCCCTCCTTTGACAAGTATGCTGTCCTCACCTCACCCTCCCCACTGCCTTTCTTGGTGGGGGGACCTCTCTGTACCATTGAGCTGTGGAACTCACACAGACGCTGTAAGAAACTCTGGCTTGCAACAGAAGGAGCCTTCTGTGTTGCTCATGATTTAGAATTTGGGATCCTAGAGCACAGTTTGGAGAGTATGCGGACCATTTATGGGAGATACGATACGAAGTTGAATTAGAGCCTTGCTGAGCAGTAATGAGACCTAGAATGTAGGAGATGGGAAAGTGCAGAGCAGGGCAGAAAGATGGCACCAAGCTCAAGGCAGATGAGGACTGGAGGAACTGAGCTGGCCGTGCAAGCTGACTTGGGGTGGCGAAGAATGCACCATATTTATATCCCAGAGCTCTGATGGTCTTCTTAGCTTTCCAGAAGTAACCAGAACCAGGACTTGGTGTTAGTTTGGGAGACCACAGTACCATGCAATTCTGTACTTAGTTCTAAGGCCTTTCAGAAGAAGTACATGGTGCCATCTTGGAGTCTTTCCACCAAGCCCCTCCGGTCCCATCTCCACCAGCTACCCAGCCAAGGTGTTCTTTTCTGCTGTGCTCAGCTAGTACAACCCCCATCCAAGATTGTACACTCTCTGCCTGTTGTGCAACATTTGCTCCCATTGCCTGTGCATGCTTGTCTTGCTGGCAAAGAAAGAGCCATTGTTCTTTCCAAATCAGCAGCCCGGAAACCAAGATGTGGTGAGACAGGCCTGAACACTATCCAGTTTCCAAAGGTTGAAATGCCCCAGAGCTGATTTAGGTCCCCAGGAATAGGGTTGATCCTAGGAGACTCATGAGCAGCTAAGTGCCACCCTGTGTGGACAGTCTCATTACTCCCCAACCCTGACCTCCCCCTCCAGTCACCAATGTTGCCCGTTCCTGCTCTGAAGCTTCTCTGAGCTCCATCTGTTCCTCTTCATTCTCACAGCCACCACCTTCCTTTGGACCACCATATCTCCGCCTTGCTGCCCTTGCTGTGCTTTATTTTAATAGGAAAGCACTGGGCGGAGGTGTTGCTGAAACTATAGCAGGTTGTGGACATCACATTTACAGATCTTACAGAAGCACCAAAATTGCACTTCATTATCAGGCACTTGTTCAATTAAGTGCACCACCTTTATAGTCAGTTTTATTCTTATGTTTTTAATTAACTTGGAGTTGATCAAAAGCTACAGGTGGATTTTGCTAAAGCCATGTGAACAGTCAGCCAGGAGGAATACAGGTGGCTGCTGGGGTTTTCCCAGTACTTGCCCTCGGCTTGAGCTTATGCTCCTACAACGTCAGCCTGGGTGGTGGAGTCAGAGCTTTTGATTCTCATGGACTATCTGGAGCTGGAAAGAGGAAAGTTGCCACATCTTGTCATGGCATCTCCACTCCGAGAACTGAGGGGTAGAGTTTATACACCCAGAAATAGGAAGGGCCAACTGGGGCCCTTCAGGGTCCTCCCAGAGCCAGCTCATGGGTCCACATGAGCCTCGGGGGTACCATCTAGATCTTGTACTTTGGTCATACGTGCGGTTCCACCATGAGATACCCTAAACTGTCTCACTGGAGTGAAGAGGTACACAGGAGCTCTTATTTGATAGATTCGAGTGGAAGGGTATATGGTTTTCATTAAACATATGCATATGAATTTAAAAATCTCTTTGCTGAGTTTCTCCTGGGCTGGATACTGTCTGGCCACAAAGCCAGTGCCTTTCTGATACTGTATTTCTGTGGGCTACAGATATACAGATGTGCCACATTGTAAGATGAGCACTACAAGGGAAGCATCAGCAGAGCCACCGACGGGCCTTGCCTAATCTCTGGTGCACCAGATGTTGAATTCAGAAGATGCCTGGTTACTGGTTTGCTTTTAGTCCTTGATTTAAAATATTCACTTATGAGTGTTGCACTGGGTTGGAGAAATAGCAAACTCACACAATTGAGACTATACCAATGACAATCGGGTCTGCCTTGGTACAGTGGGACACCGACGTTACATCAAACATTTACAGAAATAACTGTATAATTTCTATGGTATTAAGTGCTACAAATGAAAACTAGACCACCACTTAGAGTAGGTGGCTTTTGGTATGGCCTCATGAATTTAGGAGGTCCCCAGGAAAATGACATTTAAGCCGAGACTGATAAACAAGCCCGAGGAGTTAGCCAGGGCCTGCAGCGTTCTGCGCCCCCTGGGGAAATCAATCAGGAAGCTGTCTGGTCTTCAGGGTTCTAAGGGGATTTATGTAGCTAATTGTGTTCTGTGATTGTAAGCTTAAGGTATCTCTACTACATCAACGTTATAACCCTTTCTTTTTCCTGATGTCAGAAACTTCTGCTTCAACTATCTAGTAGTTTCTGTTTTTTATTGTCGTGCTTTCTTTTCAAGAGATTCTGGTTTTTGAAGTATCATCTACACTGTTTTTCTCATTTCGAATTCTTTGTTTTCTGCATCCATTCCATGGGTGTATTTTGAGTTGTCAGGCCTGTGCCAGGCCGCGGACATCACTGGGGGTCAGGGAATGCCACCAGCAGATGGAGCTGACGAGGCAGGCGGCCAGATAGGAGGCTGGGGCAGAGTCCCCGGAAAAAAAAAAGATAGTCTTTGGCAATAGGACAGTGAAGGGAAGGGTTTAGAGGAATTCACCCGACATTTGGGTAGTGAGATTCAGATTGGGAGACTGATTGGATGTGGAGTGAGGGAGAAGCTCCGATCAAACCAGAGGCCCTACGTTCTGACTAAGACCACAAGGAAGACAGTGATGCAGGGACATTAAGAGAGTCCACTGTAGGACTTCAGGAGAAAACCACTCCTGCGAAGTGTCAGCCGGTTGTCGTTCTCCCATTTTCATGGGAATCTCTCACATCTTTTGACAAGAGGACTTTGTGCAGGGTTATTTTTAGTCGGTGACTCAGCAGGGGAGGTTTTTCCAGAATCCCCATGGTAAGTGAATGGTTCCTACCCCTGATTTCCCAAGGGCAGCAGAGGAGCATAGAAGGGGCTCTGTGCCAGCTCACGTTCTCATTGTGAGGTGGAGAGTTCACAGGCAGCAAAGGGGAAGCTATTAATAAGATAGCTCCAAACACCGGCTGTCAAAAACAACAAAAAAATGTACACGAAATGTCAAGACAGAGCTTTACAGGCCAGTCCTGGTGTTCTTGTTTCTACTGCCTCTTGCCTCCCTTCTCCTCCTGCCCAAATCCACCCCCGTTCCTCCCCCAGGAGGCGTCTCCATCCAGGTGACTCTGTATTCCCCGTCGCTGAAACTGAGCAGTCACTGAGATTGTTGGAACTCCTGCCACATCACAGCTTTTCAGCATGCTACCAGGACTGTCTCTTAACAATACCAGTTTTTCTTGATATGAATTAAGTATTTCTTCACTAATGAGCTTCAAGGGCATGATAGATTCAGACTCATTTTCTCTTCCAGCCCTGCAGAATAAAGGCAAAAGCTCTATAAACCAGGGGTCTGCAGACTTTTCTTGAAAGACCCCATGTGAAATATTTAGCTTTGCAGACTCATCTCAGCTGCAGCTGTTCAATTCTGCTCTTACAGCAGAAATCAAAGACGATATAAAAATGAACAAGCATGGTTGTGTTCCTATAACACTTTACTTATGGATGCTGAGACTCAAAATTCATTTATTTTCACAGGCTCTGGAATATTCTTCTTTTGAGTTTTGTTCCCAGCCACTTAAAAATGTAAGATCCCTTCTGAGCTCGCAGGCTGTAGGAATATAGGTGGTGGGTCAGATTTGGCTCCTGGGTCGTGGTTTGCCAACTCCTGCTGCAAACCCGAGAAGCTGAAGCAAAGAGCTGTGTGTCCTTCAGGGAGTCGGGCAGTAGTACTGGGAATGTGGTCTCAGGTCCTGCAGCAGGGTCTCCTCTGCCCTCTCAGGCTGCCTGCCCCATGCTGTACCTCCTCATCACTCTTTAGGGGCAAAGTCTCCTCTGGCTCCCAACTCTGCACTGAGTGTCCCTTTCCATATTTCCATACAGTCCCAGGTCCCAGACTTCCCTTGTCATCTCACTAATCATTCAGTATTGAAATGACTCAGTCATGTTTAGGTCCTTGTGGCTCTGTGGCCCAGTGAGGCCAGGGGTCCTGTGTGCCTCTGGGTTCACTGCTGGAATCCCAGTGCCTGACAGTCTCTTGCACCTAGTAGGTTCTCTCAATGCTCATTGATTGAATGTGAATTTATGAATGAATCCAGAACTGTTTTAAGGTCTCTGAGCAATTAAGGAGATCAATGGATGGTGGATATAAAAAAGTTATCACACGAAGCATTAGAAGCTAGGTAGAGAATGCGAAACTGTGAGGTACTATTGAGAAACTGGGAGAAAAAAGAAAGCATTGAAGACTAAAATAGTTTAATAGGTTTAATGAAAAAGTAGATTTTGAACTTATCTTTGAGGCAGTTGGGTGGCAGAGATAAAGGAAAAAGTGTTGGGGTTATTATTCCAGAGGGGAAATTAGCAACATGCTTTGGTTGGATATATCTCTATCATTCTCTACTCTGCACATCTCCCCTTTGGAGCCTGGGACCCCAGCAGTGGATCACAAAGGGGGCGGCGAGGAGATTTCTGGAGTTTTGCTTTCAAAAACCGTTGTTTATTTTCTTCCAGAGATACAGATGTGCACACGGTGGCCTCCCTATTAAAACTCTACCTCCGAGACCTCCCCGAGCCGGTGGTTCCCTGGAGCCAGTATGAGGGGTTCCTGCTATGTGGGCAGCTCATGAATGCAGATGAGGCAAAGGTTTGTATCTCACTAGAGTGTCTTGGTTTGGAAGAAGGTGATGGTTACTGAGCACTATTCTGATGGACAAGCAGCAGTGGACATGGGGGCTCTGTGTCTTTGGTGAGATATTTCATCAAACTGCAACTTCCTCAGCAGCAAAGAAGCCAATCATGTTGACAGCTTTCATCGGATATAATGATCCATTAAAGAACTGGACCATAATAAAATATCCTTAAGTCACTTTAAAAGTAATAAGACAAGGCTATCAAGCAGTGTGGCCTTAGTGAGACCTGCTGAAACACACGGACAGGCTGACCAGTCTGGAGGGCAGGTGGCGCACCAGAATGTTCCAACCCTATAGTGCCTGGGAATGTCAGGCATCGGCATCAAGGAGTGCGTGTGCAGGAGAGGAAGAGCAAGGAGACTCTGTGTTCCCTTCAGCCACAGCCGCCCATAGGATCTGCAGCCACTGTCTGCAGTATCATGCTTGTTAAAATGTTCACCAGCAGGGATTTTGATCCTATAAAGATGGTTTCCTGAAAGGCCCTCTAGTTAATAGTTCCCACACCTGTGTCATGTTAATTAAGCAAAAGAACCAACAAAAGAAACTAAAAAAACCCCCAACTAATAATAGTAAAATCTTCATGGTTTCTAACCAAGATTTGCAAAACCAAATGGCCCATGAATGCATATACATATGATACTAATAATAGGGGTCCAATTCCCTACTTTGGGATGGTTCATTTTTAGCACTACTATATTAAAAACTCGCTGTGGCAAATGGTGCATAGAAAAACTTACAGTGATGAATTGGATTTAACACTGATTTTTGTCATTATGTAAATTATGCATCTTCTATGAGACTCAATTTCTTTACTTAGACCAATAGTACTGTCTACAATGATGGAGCTGATACATGCCTGTACTGTGCAGTACAGTAACCGCCAGTCGCACATAGCCTTTGGGTGCTTGAAATGTGGCTAGGGCAACTGAGGAACCAAATTCCTAATTTAGTTTAACTTGATTTAAATGTAAATAGTCACATGGGACAAGTAGCTGCTGTGTTAGGCAGCATAAACTTAGACAAATTTCTTAATAACATCTGTTATACTCAGGATTGTTTTGAGGCCAAGGGATATGACAAAAATGAGTGGCATTTAACAATCATTAATGTAAAAGGTTTATTCTCTACTCTACTTCAGCATGTGTTACATACTATGCTCCCAGAAAATGTGTGTGTGTGTGTGTGTGTGTTTAAATCAGTGGAGAGATTGTGCCCTAGCCCTGGAAGAAAGCCCAATGGTGGGAATGTCCATCCTGACTGAGAGTGTGACTAAGCCTTGTGACTTAAGTAGATCCTGGCACAAGAAAAAAGCACTTCTGTATTTCAACATTAGGAAAAGAAGAGAATGATAATGATGCAGCTAACATGCTATACCTATTGTAGCTATTTTCCAACACCAAAATTAGGTCGCATGATACGATATAGGATATTTTGTGCATCATGCATGATTTTTTTTGTGTGTAGAATTTTTGTTGTTACTGTTAAAGTATCACTGATACACAGTCTTACGATGGTTTCACATCAACTACACAGCGGTTTCAACATTCACCCATATTATCAAGTCCTCACCCAAGGATATGGAGAGTTTTAATTTATACAGCTTCATCAACTCACCTTTGTGAAAGCAGTACAATTTTATGGAGTAAGGTTTTATGGAATGCCTAACAATTTGGCTAACAAGATAAATATTTCTTGTGACATCTCCCAATGTAACCCTCGAGAAAATAAAGGAGGTACATGTATGCAGTCTGACCAAAATATCCCCACGCTTGAACTTCTTTACTTTTGACCTGTTTCTCTGAACTTTTCTCAGTCTCAGAATAACTGGCAGTTCCTAATCTGTGACAGTGCTCATCTGGACAGGTCAGAGGGGCCACAGCCTCCCTCACTGGTGCAAAGGTAGCAGAGGCAGTAGCTGGAAGGGGTGAGTCTCTAGCAACCTTTGGGAGGAATTCTCTTGGCTAAACTGAAGAGGAGAGAATATTTGTATGAAGTGGGCATTGTAGCTGCAGAGCATCCTCACCAGTCAGCGCATGCAGGCTGCCAGGCCACAGGGAACCATTTCTCCAGGATGAACTGCTCAGGTTTCAGGAAAGCCTACATGACTCATGGGAACTGGTGCACTTTTACAATCCCAGTGTTACAGTTGGTGACTGTAGACCCTACAGACAGCTGCAGGTGAAAAGAACAAAGGAAAAACTCCCTGTCCTTCCTCTGCCTGGCACATGCAATCCTTGGATGGCTGTCTCTGATGTTCATGGTTATCATGAAGCTAGAACATTCTGACCTCTCACCTGCTCTCTATGTTGGTCACCCTGTCTTATGTCCCAGCAGGTCTCAGCAAGGCCACATTGTTTGAAACTCTTCTCAGACACTTCCTCCTTCTCTCAATACTTATAAAATGGCTTGGGGATATTGGGTTATGGTCCACTTCCTCATGGGAGTGCTACATCTCAAGCATGCATTAAGCAAACAATTATTGTGAGTATGAGTTATCAAGTAGTCCTTGCCTTAGAGTAGCTCCGAGTCAGCCGGGAGGGCATAATTATAGACAAATTAAAAAATACACTGTACAAAAAATGATCAACCTCTCCATACTATTTTTTTACAACTTCCTGTAATTTAGAGTTATTTCAACATACATTTTTTTAAAAACCACAGAAAACTATGGGAACAGTAGTGATTGCCGAAGTGTTTCTGCACAGATACATCAGTTATGTTCCAGGGTCTCACTGTGGGCAAGTGAGCAGGCTTGTTTACTGGTGTTAACAATCTCTTCCCAGGCTCAGCAGGAGTTGGTGAAGCAGCTCTCCATCCTTCCTCGAGACAACTATAGCCTCCTGAGCTACATCTGCAGGTAAGAGTCCCCTGGAATCACCCCCACAGTATTCATCACAGGCACATCAGAAGGGGCCCCTGGTTAGAGAAGGAGAAAGTGTCTCTGGGAACTCAGCGACTCTGGTCCAGACCTTTGGAAGGTCTTTCCACATAGCACTCAGGTAGTTGCCTGTGTCCACAAGATAATTAAAGGATCCCCTGAAAATCTGGTCAGCACACAGAATGAGCATGCTTCCTCCTTCAGGCCTGTCCCAGCGCTGCGCAGAGCCATTGGGGCACACAGTAGAACCCAGAATCTTCATCATGGTTCTAGAATTATTTCCTATCTTCCTGACTCTGGGCCATAACTCAGTGGGCCAGAGACCTTAATTCGAGGCCACCCTTATCATTTCCCTTCCTGAGGGCTTGTTATGTGCCATCTCTATGGCAGCGTGTAACATGCGGGTTGACCCAGATCTGCCTGAGGTGGGAGCCTGGATCTCCATACCAGATACAACTGAAATGCATCTTTAAAAAAAATAATTTGTTGTTATTTCCAGGTTATATAAATGATGCATGCTTGATTTGGGAACCAGGAAAATACAACATATTGTAAATGAGAAATAAAAATTACAATTTCCTTACCCAGCAAAAATCAGTATTAGTATTTGGGTATGTTTCCTTATGGATATCTTACTCTGTATGATAGATCTTTATGTACATCCATGTAAATATAGGGGATCAATTTGTTATTCTGAATCAGAATTACATGATACTATATATAGATGTATCTTGCTTTTTTGGGCTTTAATGTTATATTGTGAGCATTTCTTTATACCATAAAATAGGATTATAAGTGACTCCATAATATAATATTCCATAATATTTCCCCACTGGGACACACCACCATTTATTTGATAATTTTTCTGTATTTGAAATTTATGTTGCTTCAGCCTATCCATTTTAAAATGGTTTTTAGAGAGTATTTGGAAATTTTGCTGACCTTTTCAAGGTTTTTTATGGTGAATCGAGAGCTTTATACTCTGTATGGGTGGAATTATAGCAGAAATTCATTGTTAGCTAATTTTGTACCTACTGAGTGTTTGCAATGCTCAGTGCTGGAATCCGAAAATGAGAGCAGGGAGACCCCAGGGATTCCTGTCCCAGGGATCTTCTTATGATATAGCTTTCCTCTGTGGGAACTTGGGTGGGATAGATTCTGAGAGCCTGGAGACAAGCCTATAAAGCCAGGACAAGGGAGAGTCAAGTACCCATTCTGGTCCTGCTCTTCTCCCTTTAGCACGCTGAACTGGATTCCGCCTCCCCACCCCAGGCCTCGCTGCAGTGCCACCACCAGCCACTGGGCGGCCCCTCCCAGCTTCTCTTCTCTGATCTTGAATCGTTCAGGGCAAAGCTAAACTTGTAGGCAGAGCAGACTGGTCCCGTTCCTGAGACCAGGTGGAAAGAGTTAGGATCGATCTCTGAGATCTCATGGCTACTCTGGAAGTGCTTCCTTCTGGCAACTTCCTAATTCTTACTATGGGATTTCCTGGATGCCACAGGTTCCTACATGAAATCCAACTGAACTGTAGTGTTAACAAGATGAGCGTGGAAAATCTGGCTACTGTGATTGGTGTGAATCTCATCAGGTCCAAGGTGGAAGACCCTGCTGTGATCATGAGAGGTACGGCTGGTCCTGCGGTGAAGGCAGGCACAGAAGTGACCACATCACCACCAAGTGGCAGAGTACTTTGACAAACATTATCTTGCCATCCTGTCTGCTTATCTTGATTTTCTTGTTTACCTTGTGAAATAGCCCTGTACGAAGTAAGCAAGGTAGGAATTAAGTCTGTTTTCCAGATCATAGCAGAGCAGAGGAATTATAGAATTACCCAGTGGCCACACAGTAATATAGGCCAGCACGAAAACAGTTAGCTAGTGTTTCTGAGTCTTTTATTAATAAACCTCAGCCAGAGAGCAAACAAATTTGATTGTATAAGACATATCACAAAAATGCTACTTGTAAAGCTGTATTGAAAAGGCTTCTGAGACTATATCTTGGTTCAATGAATACAAGTCCTGGCTTTGAGAACTGATGTCTGCCGTGCACCTGGGAAGGCAATATGCCCGGTACACATTCACTACTGTGCAATAAGAAATCAGATGTCATGTGGAGGACCACATAAGAAACGAAAGCTGTCTTCACTTTCTCTCCATTCTATTGCCTATTTCCTACTTAAAGACTGATCACAGGAGTGCAGGCTGAGAATAACCCTCTTTCACACCATCCCCTTATCCTTCCTCCATCCCAACCCTTTCACCATAATCCCCCATCCTATGTAATTAAGAAGGGTCCTGTGAGGAGCAAAATGAGGTCCTTTTGGGTCCTGTGGTTTTAGAGCCAATTTAGTCATCCCATGGGTGGAGGCCCTTGAGGACTGCCTGCCTCCCATCCCATGGTCCAGCACCACAAACCCCTTTCTCTTTTCTTGCAGGGACTCCTCAAATCCAAAGAGTGGTGACCGTGATGATCAGAGACCATGAAGTACTCTTCCCCAAGTCCAAGGATGCACCCCTATCACCCCCTGCACAGAGTAATGACCCTAAGAAACCTCCAGTGGCTCGGAGCTCTGTGGGCTGGGACGCCACTGAAGACCCCGCAATTTCTAGATCAGACAGTTTCAGTAACACGGTAAGAGCAGAGAGCCTTCCTCCTTCCAGCCAACTCTTCCTTTGGTCCAGGTCATGCCATGTAAGAGTTGCTCTAGGTGGCAATCTGGGGAGTTTGGGATATGCTGTGGACACACAGCTCAAAAGTGTGACCGCTTTCAAAATCCTGTCTATGTTGACATCCTGGAGGTGGGGGTTCATGTCCTGTGTGCCAATCTCTCAATGACTAGCAGTGGGACTCCTCACTGAAACCCACTCTAAAAGGGAAACTCTCTTGAACACAGTCCAGAAAAGTTCAATGGGGAAATTATATACTGCACTGTAAATTTTTTAGTGGGAGTTGCTGAAAACTGTGTGGAAGTCCAGAGAGAACTGTTTTCCTGCTAATCCATGAAACGTGATTCTTTTCTCAGAATATATGATGTGTTCGTGTAATATTTCTCATTCCCTGATAAGCTGTTCCAGCAATGTCAACCCCCTCATTTGTACTAAAAGGTTGGAGCTCACGTTCCCAGTGTCAAAAATCTCTGCAGACTCTGCAAGTGAGACTATTTGAGGGCAATAATTACAAAGCTCAAGTATTTTTACATATTTATAGAGACAATTTTAAAAAATGTGAATTTTACAGAGCAGCTTGATTCTTTATCTGTGACCAAGAATTGAATTGAAAATTTCTGGTTGACCAGGAACTGTAAGATGCCTGTAGTACTGTTAATCCTGAGGACATTTAAGGGCTCATTCTTTTCTTTTTAACTTAATTAAAAATATATAAAATATGCATATGATTAAAAAAATAAACAAGATAGAAAAAGATGCATTGAGAAGTGCATCTCCCACCACTATCTCCATCCACTCCATCCTGCCTTCATTAGCTGCTTCATATCCTTCCAATGTTCCTGTATGCACATGTAAGCAGATGTGAATGCTCTTTGCCTCCCTCTTTACACAAAATGTAACAGTCTATAGCAAATATAACAAAATGTATCATCTCTGTATACACGCACACACATACATACATACATACATACATACATACATACATTACTCTGTATCTTACATTTTTCTACCTAAAAGTATGTCCTGGAGACTGTCATGTCAAAATATGGACAGCAACCTCATACAATCTTATGTTTTTGATGGGTGTAGAGTGTTCTGTCCTGGCAGTGTACGATAAACCTCTTAACTAACCCCTTTAGATGAACAGGTCATTTTCATTCCTTTGGGCTACAAACAAAGCTACAGTGGATAACCTTGACCTCAGGCAGATGTATTTCTGGGATAAGGTCCTAGAAGTGGATTCGAAGTCACAGGGTAACTAGATTGGTAATGTGTAATTTTGGTTAAAATTGTTAGGTACAGGTTGTACTATTTTGTACTTCCAGCAGCAATACATAAAAGAGCCTGTTACCCTACAAAGTGTCAAATTTGGGTGAGGTTGTTTATCTGTTATGTGAGCACCAATATTTCAGTAATTTGAATTTGAATTTAAATTTCTCCTATTATGAGATTGACTAGACATCTTTTCTTATATGTAAGGGCCAGTTGCATTTTTCCTCTGTGAGCTGTCTGATTTTGTCCTTTGCCCACATTTATATTAGCTCTTGGTCTTTTTCTTGCAAAGTTTTATGACCTGGAGGGAGTAACTTGTTCATGATATGCATGGCAAATATTTTTGCTAGTTTGTCACTGCATGTTGGTTTTAGTATGTGGTGATTTCTTTGTTTTATTTTTGTTCTTTTTAATTTGGGGGCTTGGGAATTCACATAGGTTGGATTTATCAAACTTTTATTTTATGGCTTCTGGATTTTGAGTCATAGTTTGAAAGGCCTCCCATTCTGAAGTTATAAAAGAATCCTAGTTTAGGACTCTTTTACCACAAACAATTGATTTTAGAGCATGAGTTCCTTTAAATGAATGCAGCATGCTTTTTGAAAAAATGCCATGCAGATAATCAATTAGTGTGATAAGTTAAGAGATTGTTTTCCTGGGTTTACTTAGTTACTTACTGCTTCCTTACTCATTAAAGCAAGGAGCTACTTTCTTTCAAATCTCTAATCCTTATCTTGGGAGCATGACACACATGGGAAAAATACATGTAACACCGTGGCCATTCTTTTCTAGACCGGCGACTCAGACACAGCCAGCCCCACTGAACAGCAGCCGAGTGATGGGTGTCTAGTGGAGAACAGTAAAGCCCCCAGGGAAAAGCCAGAAGATTGGAAGCTGCAATCACGGAAAAGGACTCAGACGCTCCCCAACCGGAAATGCTTCTTAACATCAGCTTTTCAAGGTGCCAACAGCAGCAAAGTGGAGATCTTTAAAAACGAGTTCTGGTCATCTTCTTCAGAACTGAAGGCAGGGGAGGGGCACAGGAGAACGATGTCTCAGGGTTTGCCCCAAAGTCCTGACTCCCAGCGGTCTTCCACCTACGATAACATCCCTGCTGCGACAGGGTCTCCCAGGGACGAAGAAAGCTCACTGTCTTCCCATGCCTGTGACTACAAGAGAGACACTCCTGCTGGCCCAAACTCTGAAACTGGGCCTGGGAAAAAGAACTCTGGAGAAGAGGAACTCGAATCTTTGCAGAGGCTGGTCCAGGAGCTGAGGAAGGAAATAGAAACACAGAAGCAAATGTATGAGGAACAGATTGAAAAGTAAGTCACATACACAGGGTCCTCTGGGCAGCCACTTGGCTTCCAATTTTAGAAACAATAGATATTGTTCTCATCTGCCAAAGAAGTGACATTAGAAACCTTCAGCTTGGAGAATACAGTCATCTGTAGCAGCTGGGCCTACTAAGGAAAAGGGTAAAGGGAGTGAGGACATGACTAAATGAGTAAAAACTCTAAGCTTTAGATTAAATTCCTGAAAAGTTAAGTATATAGCTAGTAGTTTAACCAACTATTTCTGAGTAGTTGTTAAGGATTGACATGCTTTAATGAATTAAGAGGAACTTTAAAATTTTTTCATATTGATGAATTCATTCATCCATTCTGAAAATATTTATTGAGCACCTACTGTGTGCCAGGCATGATCCCAGCTGGTGGGGAATAGTATGGAACAAAATAGACAAAGGTTCCTGTGCTTATAGAGCTTTCCTCTAGTAGGGACAGACAGACAGACAGACAAGTAAGTAATTAAAGCATCTGCTCTGCCAGGTGGTCAAAAATGCTGTGGAGAGAAATAAGGCAGGCAGGAGCTGGCGGGGCGCATGATTGAGAAGGGGGTTCCAATGTTACATGGGGAGGTCAGGAAGGCCTCACTGAGAAGGTAGCATTAAAGCAAAGGCCTGAAGGAGAAGAGGGAACAAGTCAGGTCTGTACATGGAGGAAGAGCAGGCTAGGCAGCAAGCAACAAAGACTCAGAGGCCATGGGAAGGGTGCAGGTCTGGTGTGCTCATGCACAGGAAGAGTGGTGCTAGGCTGGAACAAGAGGAGTAACTGATAGGACAGATGGCAGAGACGTGCAGGAGGCCAGAGCACACAGGGCCTTGCCAGCCCCCTGAAAGCCTGAGAGAGACAGAGCTTCTGGATGGCTTGACTGACTGAAGCTTCATTGGATCACTGGCTCCCCACTGAGCTCAGGCCGCAGCAGGCAAGTGGAAGTGGGAGGCCAGAGAGGCAGCGATTACCACGATTTCCTGCACATTCCTAGATGCTTGGATACAATTTGCTCTCTTGGGCACATAAACTGTTCTATTGAAATCTTTTTCACACCACTGATTTTTTCATGAGAGGAAGCCTCATCCAGCTTAGCCCATATTAACACTAATCATGAGGTAGTGAAATGTCAAATTATGGGTACTTTTCAGTCCATTAAGACTCAGGTACCTAAAAGGAAGACTTTTGCGAGCCCCCAACCTCTGTTTTCCACCTAAAAGCAAAATGGAGTTCTTTTGTCTAAGAACCTGAAATCAGTCATTTGTAGAACCACAAGACTTGTGTGAGGCCTCGGCAGTGACTGAGGCAGCCCCAGAGAAGACTCCAATCACACTTTGGCATGAATGTCATTGACAGAGAAGGGAAGGAATTAGCTGCCTAGAAGGCCACCGCTCCTCCTGAGTGGAATAAAGTCCTCTGAACCTTCCTGCCCTCCCATCCTTAAAGGGGGCAGAATTCAATCTGTCGTGCCTGTTCTAAGCTTTGTGCTTAAGCACACCTTCCTATGCAATCCCCACAGCAATCCTGAGAAACAGGAAACACCCCTCATTTTATAGAGAAATGGGTGCCCAAGAAGCATGCAGAGACTTTTAAAGGTTGCACAACTAATCATTGGTGGGGCTGAGAGTTGAACCTGGATCATCCAGGTCCCTGAGCCCATTCAGGTTTTACGACTCCACTGGAATCAGTGGCCAAGATCTAACATAATGTCTTATTTGAGATCTCCCCCAAAGCAAGAGGGATGTGGTGAACTTGGAGAAGGAAGCTAGATTTGTAATGGCAAGGCTAGAAGGAATGACACTAGTCTACCTTTAAGAAGAGATAGGCAGGGGTAGTCAACTCTCCACAGAGTGGGCCGAAGCCCTTGAGTCCAAGCCGGGCATGGACTCAAATGAGACCTCAAGTCTCCATACGAAATGATTGGGGCTGCAGGGAGGCAGCACCTCACAGAATGAAATCCAGAAGCAAATGTCCATTCACCCTCTGCCGTCGCAGATCTGAAGTTCTCTCTCTTGGCTTACAAAATGGCATATGTACCCTCATGCCTCAGGGTTCAGGCAGCACAGCCTAGCAGGGAGCACCTGGAACTAGGATTTGGGCCAGGAACAATGAAAATCCTGGGAGAAACAACACGAAAGGGATGTCACAAGTCAGTGCTACATGACAGAAGAGGGGCTCCCACCTGCTCTGGGTGTTCAGGTGTACTGGGAGGTGCTCGTGTCAGTGGTGGGACACAGATGTGAGGTACAGGGTGGATACAGGTCTTGAGATGTGGAAAGGAAAATGGATGGGGGGCCGTGAGCAAGGGTGGAGGGAGAGTCTGGAGGGCATGCCTTGTTCTCTCACTCTGTCCTTGCCTTCCTTGTAGCCTTGAGAAGGAAAATTACGATGTCTGGGCTAAGGTGGTGAGGCTCAGTGAAGACCTGGAGAAGGAGAAGAAGAAGTTTTCAGCCTTGGAAATTACCCTCCGCAACGTGGAGCGCTCCCGTGAGGATGTTGAGAAGAGGAACAGGGCCTTGGAGGAAGAGGTCAAGGAATTTGTCAGATCCATGAAGGAGTGCAAGGCTGATGCTTGAGGGTCCCAGAAGAACCCCAGAGACGGCCTGTGGAGACCCAACACTGCTCCCTTTCTTGGTGCTGCCTGATGACTGGGAAGCAAAATTACTCCCTTGGTGGGAGAGGACATTTGGGGGAAACATCATATTTCCCAGTAAATAAACCAATGGAATTTTCAGGAAGATGAGGGTGAGCAGGGACATGTGTGGATGTCTGTGATCCCCTGTGGCTGTATTCAGAAGGATTGCATTATTCCACAGTGGTCTTAGGCTGAGTGAAATGGAACCTTCCCCTGCTGGATGACTGTGTGATACGCAATGGACACATTTGAGGCTGGTCACATTCCTGGACCCAGGTGACAAGCTGGTCCCTACCAAGGCTGGACTGAGGCACTAGCTCTTTGTTTTCTTTGTGGAATAGCTCACCTAGTCAGATGGCCTCAGGGTGTGTCTGAGAAACCGGAGCAGAAAGCAGTACTCAGCTTTCAAGAGCATACCCATGGCATGCTGTGTTGCAGGGGGCTGCACCTACTGAAGCCAGAGCCCTATTCTGCCACCCTGTCCACGATGCACACTCTCCAGGGGTTGGAAACTCAAAATTATTATTTGACTGAGACTAAAACAAGCAATAAACTGTATTTATGAAAACAATATCAATGCAAAAGTTATATTCAAATAAAGCCAAAAAAAAAATGCAGGGCTGTTGGTGCTCTATACAACACCTTTGTGAGTTAGTAAAGGCGCCCCTTCCTCAGGGAGATGCACCCCTCTCCTGCACACAGCTTGCTGAAATCCATGGGCTGGATTTCAGTCCCTACCTTCCTTGGAGAGTTCCCATTTGTGTATGGCGGGCCTGGGAATAAAGGCCTTCCTTCTGTGATGTGACTTCCTCAGAGGCCGCTTGGGGGTTTAGATAACAATAGTCATAACAATATTTTTTCTGTTTCACTGAAATGCGAATGATTTCACCCTTTAAAGAACCACGAGGCACTAGAGAGTAGCTGGGAGAGCAGAGGGGATTCCCAGTGGACAAACAACTTTTCCTTCTACATTAAGTCGGCCTGGCAGAGGCTCCTGGTGAGGTGGGATGGTGGAGTCTTTAATGGATTTTGTCATTGTTCTGGTTATGTGGTCTCTGAGCTCTCTCGGCTGTGTATCCTATCAGTACAAAATATTGGAGCGTGCACCCCCAAGATAGGTTTATTTATGTATTTATAAATTACATACAGGTACTACTGTCTCGTTATATCATGTATGTCATAAAACACACAGGCTAGAAATTGAATAATGATAAGACAAAAACACATATAAACAGAAGTTCCCCAAAGTGCTTTCAGTTTGGGAGGCCACTGGCCTGGTTCCCAGAGGGTATTACCTGTGCTAATCTTACACATATTGTCCTGTTAATCTGCTCCCATAAATTCACTTGAACTTTTGAAGCCACATGGCTAAATGGGTGATTGGAAATCTGGTTACCATGGTGATAGTTTAGCTATCCCCAGCACATGGGTTTCCTGTTAGGCCTTTTTCTCTCTTTGTTTTCTCTTCCTCTCTTTGTTTTTCTTCACTCTGGTTATTTCTCCCCAGCCTGTGGTCATAATGTATCACCCACAGAGTGAACGATACAAACGTGGTCAGTGTTTCTCCGTCCTGCTGTTTAGGCTCTGCTCCGCCCACCTACAGCCCCCAAGGACCAGGCCGAGGATGGCAAGGACAGCACCAGAACATTCCCTGAGATGCCTGCTTACAGGAGATGGGTTAGGGGCTTATCTGGAACATTATTAAATGACATAATAAAATACTTGATTTCCTATGGTTCACTTGTTTTTTCATTGCAGAATAACAAACAGGGAAAAACTTATCGGACACCAATTTACTTTGATGGTGTCTACAATTCTGCCTCTGTTCTCCCACAGATCCTTCACACTGACTCTTTGGTGCTGAAACAGAGTTGAGTGTGGAAGTAGCCAGACGATCAATTCTAAAGGGAGCATTTGTTTGAAGAGGAGAACCTGAAGTCTGCTTTTTTAGAGGTCCATGTTATAGGATCTTGCAGGGTCTGGGGGCGAGAGCTCTGGCTGAGGGGAAGGGCTGTGTTTGAAAACCAAGCCTTTCCTGATCAAACAATGCCTCTCGTTCTGTTCCTTCCACCAGAACTATGAGATAGCAGAGCAGCCATTCCAGCATGAGAAGGTGGAGTGTCAGTTCCTCTTCACTATCAAGTGGGGAACCTGGCTTGCTTAAGCTGGACATCTTGCTACTGTGCCATCTTCCATATGAGGAGAACACAGGAAACAAGATGAGTTTTTCTAGGACCTACGGCCATGTGAGTCCAGGAGGGCCAGGGAAGATCTGGGTATGATGCCACCGTCCTCAGTGACCCATAGGCTTCATGTGAGATGGATGTCAGAGTAGCTCCAGGCCTCACCTGGGCCAGGAAGCCAATTTCTGGAAGGCATTCTGTTGGGGCCCAGAGCTCCCACCATGAACACTTCCAGTGGGCAGGATCTACTAAATCTGCCTTTCCCAGTTACCCACCCCCTCCTCCTTACCTCTGCTCTACCTGTGCAGATACTGAGAGCCTAGAAGGGTCTGCAGAATGCACTGTAAAGCCTCTGGCCCTCTTCCTGACCAAAATTCTTATTTCCTTCATGGCCTCAAGCATGGTCATATTAGGCCCCTTTCTCTTACATTTCAGATAGGACTTTTTTTTAGGGGATTAACTGGAATGATTCCTGTCTCTGTCTGTTCTGGCTGCTATAACAAAATACCACAGACAGGGTGCCTTGTAAACAACAGAAATTTATTTCTCACAGTTCTGAGGCTGGAAGTCTGAGATCCAGTTGGGGAGCACCCTCTTCTGCGTTGTGGGCTCCCCATTGTATCCTCACATGGCAGAAAGGGGAGGGATCTCTGCTGGGTCTCTTCTGTAAGTCACTAATCCCATTATTGAGGGTTCCACCCTTATGACTTACACACCCCAAAAGGTCCTACCTCCTAAGGCCATCGTTTTGGGGGGTTAGGATTTATACATATGACTTGGGTGGGGTTCAGGTGAGGGAGACATAAGCACTTAGACCATAGCAATTCCCTTCCACTGGCTTTTGGTCAGTCTGGGGCCTAGAGAATCAAGTGTGACATTTCTAGAACAGAGCATGCTGCAAATACATATTTTTATTGTTGTTTCAACTAACCCTTTAAGCCTGCTCAGAGGCCCATTAGAAAAGCATGAGGCAGGAGACTCTGAAGCAGCCCTGGATTCCTGAGATGGGGGGTACAGGAGCACAATGGCACAGCAGCCATTGGCTAGGATCCCTGGGCTCAAGACAGGAGGACGTGTATGGGCTGACACCTTGTAAACTTCCATATTCCACCACTTCCTCTGCAGATATCATCAGTGGTCAGGCCATGTATTTGGGGGAGCAGAGAGATCACTTACAGACTTTTACAAGAACTGCACAAAAGCCTTCACTCTGGTGGAGAAGGCTGGTAGAGGGATCCCCAAGGGCTGAGATCCAGCTGCTGCTTGAGGAGCCCAAGTTGCATTTGACCAGTAGCAGGAAGCTGGATCTGGCGGGCTTGCAGTTCAGAAGGCTTTCCAGGGAGACTGCAGAAGGAGCAGAAAATACCAACTGAGATGTACAATGTCAACCTCTCTTTCCAGTGATGCCTGACAGCCACCTAAGAGTCATAGACTCACAGCATTGGAAGACACCCTTGAGCTTATCTAAGCTAATCTCTGTGCTCACTTAATGGATAGGGAAACTGAGGTCCAGAGGCATAAGCTGAGTTGCCAGTGCTCACAGAGCAATGAGGAGGAGGATTAAAGTTGGTGATTTTTTGAGGGCTTCTCTAATCCACTATTCAGTGAATTTTGTGATTCCTGGCTTCTTGTCCAAGTGTTCTTTCCCCCAGACTAAGACCATGATGTGAAACCCACTGAACATCTCTTGCCTCCAGAATATAGGTCTGGCCTTATCTTTTTGTCACAACTAAGACCCACTTGATACGTTGCCATTTTTCACTAGCCTTGTGTTACTGATACTGTTCTAAGACAATGGTTCTCAGGCTTGGCTGCACAATAGAACCAGCTTAAGAAGCTTTTGGAAAAATTCCAATACTCAGATCACACCCCAGATCAATTAAATCAGAATCTTAGGGGTTGGAGCCTAAGAACTGTTTTTCCTTAAAAAAACTTTCTGGTTAATTCTAATATGCAATCTGGATTGTTAAGCACGGTTGTAAAACTTCTTATGTCATTACTATCATAGTATTACATCTACTTACTGTCCTAGCTCCAATCACTTACAACTACACTCTCTATCCTCCCTACTTGCAGGCTTATCATGTATTCATTCATTTAGGATAAGAGATGCCTAAGAGAGAAAATGATTTATGTTATACATACATTTTTTTTAGATGGGAAAAACTGAGCCCAAAGATGTTGGCAAAAAAAATCTCAATGTAACAGCAGCTTAGTAATGAACAAATCCAAGGAGTTCAAGATTTCCTTAATATACAGGGCCATTATATAATTATACAATACATCTCAACTTGCTTTAAGGTTAGCTCTATCCATAGGCAAAGAAGGTAAGCACCTGAGGCCTATAAAGAGTCCCAAGAACAGCCCTGTTTAAAACCATGTCCCTTTCAGATTCACAGCAGAGTGGATCGTGGAATCTCTATCCAGAGCCTTTGGGCTATGAACCACAAATGGATATTATTGGGAGACACGAAGCCTCCATTAATCATTAATGCCATCTTTATATCAGTTTCCTGATTCCCAGCAGACAGCTGTGTAATGAGGGAATGAGAGCTGCTCAGGTAAGTTGGGTTGTGCATGGAGGGGTAGATGAAGAGCGTGGGATGTCACCAAGGAATAATGCAGCGTGGGGGCACTGGCCACCGAGTGCACAGGGCAGACAGTCTGAGAGGCGGGAGGGTCAGGGCCTTGAAAAGGGAAAGGGAGATTCAGATAGCAGGATGGAGAGCCCGCTTGCCCTCAGGCAAACCTGACAGTCGGTCACAGTTGGCTCTCGGACTCCCTTTTCTGCTCTCTGTTCTCTCCTTTGCTGACTGATGTCCTCCCAAGTCTACCATGTCCAGACATGATTCCGGATCCTTCATCATTCTCATCATCAACATCCTAACAGTATTCATCATTAGTAATCTACTGTCCTCTGTCAGGCTCTGTGTCAAGTATTTTTGTACATGTCATGTCCTTTAAATCTCAAATCAACTCTTTGGATTAAGAGCTACTCTACCTGTTTTACAGATCAGAAAATTGAGGTTTTGATGCAGCAGAGCTAGGAACCAAAGCGAGTCTGTCCAATTTGTTCAATGCCATGTTGGCCTTGCACATATGCAGGGAAGGAGTGTGCCATAGGAAGCTATCTCCAGGTAATGATGGTCTAAAATAAAGTTTCCAAGGACATTTTTTTAAAGGGATGACTGTTCAGTGTTCTAATTCAGCATCAAGGTGGAGAAATTATCTGTGAGTAAATGCCTTCCTCACAGCCCCAAGTCACTCCCCACCTGCTTGTCCTGAGGGCGGCTGGAGGCTGCACATCACCAGGCGCTTGCTTCAAGCCAGTTCAGGGTCCCATGTTATTAGCAACCCACTCAAAAGACTTTTTGGGAGCAACTCTGAGATTGGTTGTCTAAGGGTCTCTGGTTCCATGGTGCTGAGGAATGAGCTTCTCAGACCTCTTTGCTGAACTTGCTGGGTTAGTCTCCACACTCCTTTCCGTAAGTCTAGAAGGGTCAAATGGGCGTAGTGGGTAAGTTTGAAGCATGTCCTGCCACTGAGATCTTTAAGAGAGAACTTCTCCTTGTTCCACCTAAAGGACTCCCTGTAGAGGGTGATGCTTGTGGGAGGAAATAAAGTCACACATTCCCCATGTTTCCTCATTTTAAGATGTTCATAAGTCAAATATGGGCTCTGCCTGGTGAAAGTTTATACTTTACCACAGTCCATCCTTGCTGGAGGTTTGCAGCCTCTGAGCTTCAGGCCTGGAGCATCTTCAGCCTGTTTTATATGATCTGATTATTTCCACAACACTCCTGGTAGATCAGCGAGCAGCTGGAATGTCACATCACTGCTTTGGAAACAAGGCCCATCTAATGATGCATTTACCTGGACTTGCCCTCTGCTTCTTGCTGAATGTTATCATTACTGCTTTTGGGCTAGGATACAAAGCCTGGTTTCCCTTAGAAGCCACTTCTCCCTGGCTGCAAAAGAGGGCAGTGCATTGCCTGCCAGTCTCCTTCTAGGGGAAGAGCTGGGTGAGCCCATGGACAGTTCAGCTGGCCCAGGGCTGGACACCAGACACACTGTGGGAATTTGAACTTGGTCAGCAGGAAGCACGTGGTTTGAATGAAGCACTGTGTCTATTTTAGGCCTGCATATTACCTTCAAAGAAAAACCAACGCCAATCTGAAAAAGTAACACCATGCTCTATGATAACTGAGTTTACTCGTTCTTCAAATGCTGGTCATTTATTAATGCACAGCCCATGCCCTCAGAATCCCAGCTGTGACCTTCATGGAGGATTCCTCATGGAAGATTTCATAGTCCTAGACTCAATTATGTGCACATAAATTATTTGACATGTTATTCATGCTACTTATTTAGTGATTGACAGTCACTCTTGTGTCTCTTCCTTGCTTCTCTGAGAGTATTGGAATTCATCTCCCAAAGAATTTGAGGGTTATTGGAGAAATAAAATACATGGGAATCATATGCATTCAGCAGCTGCTGCTCCATTCTTGAGATAGTTGAT